AAGAAAGAAAGAAAGAAAGAAAGAAAGAAAGAAAGAAAGAAAGAAAGAAAGAAAGAAAGAAAAGAAAAGTAAAGAAAAATATGTCCATTATGTTATTTGGAGTCCAATATAGTGACAGCAACTACACAGTAATTTTTGTAGAGTTAGGAAATATTTTATGCATCTTAACCTTTCAGGGATTAAGTGTAATGGGGATAAAGATAAGTCTAAATAGAACATTAATATTAAGGAAGATTGATTATCCAAAAAAGGATAACTTGGACTTAATTCTACCCACTTCATACCAGAAAATTTTATTCAATTGCTTTGAGAAGAAACAAAACAAAACAAACAAACAAAAAAACCAAATCAACAAACAAACAAAAATCAGTCCTGTGGGGAATAGGTGATCCACTTTTTCCAACTCAGAACTGTCTTTAGGACCATGATGAAAGGACCATCGTGACCCCTTTTAAAGTAGGGAAGACACACCTTTGACTAATAGGCTGGCAATGTGCTCTCTCGTGTGAAGAGTGATTATAGCTGATATGCCACCGACAGTAGTGACTGCCAGGTTCAAGAAGAGCTGAGCCACATGCCCAGTGTTGAAATTGGAGGGACGATATCACTGAATATCTGCTATGCTGGTCTTTGACCTCTGCCTAAGGAGAAGCAAAATCAAGCAGAAATGCGAAGATCTCTCCTTCACCGTCTCTATCGGCCCAGCTTAGCATCACGGCACTTGCAGTGGAAAACTGTTCACTGAGTCCAACCGTGTAGTGTCGGCACTGGAGGATCCGCTCAAAATAGGAGCCATGTAGGTAGCTTGTATGCTGAGTTCTGCTGTCATCCATGTTCTTCCATGTGATTTTTGAAAAATTCATGACATATTTTTCATATTTTGGTATACAACTTATGGAGAACTTTTGTGCTGGATGAGACAAAGTAAAAGAATAATTTATATGACTGAATAGTTCATCAAGAACCTACTATTTAATTAAGCATTAATCCTGAATCTCAGTGCTGTGTCATGCAATGTTAGTGTATCTATGTGGATCTAATTTTGGTGTCTCTGTACTGCTCCAATGTATATTTTTCTGCATTTGTTTGAATTTAATCTTGCTGTAGGTTGTTAACCCAATTCAGCATTGCTTCAACTTCAAATATTTGTAACTATTTTTTGATATTTGTGTAAATTTTTCTATGAGTTTTCAATATATATATATTTAGCTTATAGCTGATTTGGGGTAGTTATTTTTACAAGATTGTATTATCTATTCTGTAAACACGATATATCTCTTAATATTATAAAAAGTCTTAAATTTATGTCAATAAAATTTAAAGTTACAAGTTTAAATGTCTGGTTAATTATCAGTTTCTCTTTCTTCTACAGTTTTTATGATAGAATACACAGTGTGGCTGAGGGTTCATTTTCTTCTTACTGCCATTAAGAAATAGATTTAGATATAAAACTTATATTTTCTTAACACTGATGAGTTACTTTACTGTTTTTTCCTGACTTAAGATTTTTCATTTACAAATAGTTCATTGATATTGACTATAAATTATAATAAAGTTATTTTCCTTCAAACTTCTGTTTTTTTATTTTTCTCATCTATTTATATTGAATACAATTGCACAGATTTTAGAGTTGAACATAGTTAATATTATCTTTTTTGTCTATGGGGAGATTGTCTTACTATTATATTTTCCAACTAAGACTGATGTTTATTGTAGTTTAATGTACTAACTCACACACACAAAAATTATCTTGAATTTTGAGTTTAATATATTTTGTATCATCATCAACATTAAATTTAGCAAAATATTTTTCTCAATTTATATATAAAACTCTCCTCTCCTTTTAAGGTTTTAATAAGTTAAATTGAGTTTAACATATAAACAATTTTGATGGTTGAATAAAACACAAAAGAAGCAGTATGTGTGTGTTTAGCAGATTATATTCATGATGATTTGGGTTAAATTTTATAATAAATTCATAGGATCTAATTGTCTTACATGTTTACTTTGATGTGGTATAGTCTTTAGGTTTGGATATCAGGTTTTGTTTGCTTCATAGAAATCACTAATCACTGAGATTCATAGAAATCTCTCATGTTGTATGCCTTAGTCAACTATTAATTATGAATTAAACATGGTATTTAGGGCTAAGACTTTTTTTCACAATACTTTTAAATAGAGTTTGAATAAGGACATAACAAAGCCCATTGTTTTTCTCCATCAAACGATCCTTTGGGCACTCCTGAATTGCTTCACAATCTAAGAGACTAGGTTGACATGCCCACCACCTGCCCTTGAGGAGGACAAATAGCTTTGGTATCAATTATTGTCCCCAGAGGTTTTACTGAGAAATAGATGTGCCAGAGGTAAATACTAGTCAAGAGGGACGGAAGGGTCAGTGTCCTTAGTGCGGAGGTGAGGTGCTGAGGCAGCACCTGCCTGGATGGTGTCAGATACTCCCAAGGCACGAAGCACCCAGTGTAGGCTCTAGAGTGGCAGCACCCGTGTGTTCATAAAGATTCACATGCCTCAGGACACACTGGGTGTCTTATTCTTTTCTAATTCCAGTCTTCAGTGGCTTTTGATACCTGCAGAGACTCCCTCGGATTGGCAGAACAGAATCTCGGCAAGCTGAGTCGGGCGAAAGCCTGTCTGTGCTTAAGGACTCAGGTGCACCTGTGCTTTGAGGTAAGCCTAGCGGGTAGAAGATTGCCACATCGTCTCCTTAAAGAGCCTAGTCCATGGAGAAGATGTTCAGGGTCTCTGCTGATCTTAGCTTATTTGGAAACACTGCTCTGGACAGATGAAAAGAATAAAACAGCTCCTCTCCCAACCCTGCTAGACTGTTACCCTCTGAAATAAAACAAGCCTTGAGGTGAGAGAATGCAGTTTCTTTGGTGAGAATTCAGCACTGCAATCACTGTTGTCCAGCGACGTTACTGTATAATTCTAAGTAGAGATTAAAATGTCAGAACAGGTGATACTGAAGATGCTTGAATACCTCGTCTACCTCATTCCCCCACAGATCATGAGCACCTATGAATCCTACCTGACCCTGCCTCGAACTATTGGTCACAATTCCTTTGAGTCAGTTGTCTATAGTTGACACATCTAAGATTAAGATTCATCCATCATCTTGATCAAAATTTTTCTCCCCTTGAGGTCAAACTATTTAAGTATCAGATGCTGTGCAGAGCATTTCATTTATTTTTCTCAAGCATCTTAAATGTTATCAAAGTGGTGTCGTTACTACTTTAAATTTTATGTTCAAAGAAGCTTAGTGATGTATCTGTTTAAAATGGATGAAGTAGAAGATAATGCAGAACATCATGTTGCCACCTGACTGTAACTGTAGATGAGTAGCCACTGAATGCAGGAGCTCAGGTCGATAACCAATACTGAGGAAAGACTGAATCCTTTAAATCAGAAATATTTCTAAGGAGTAAGAGAGTTACCCAAGAGGTGAAGCTTGGTGTGCCTCCCTGAGAAGAAGACTGAGGAAAACTAACTATGAGGGTGGTTATAAAGAAGGAAGAAAATAATGTTGGGTACCCAAAAGATTCTTCTTATCACTCAGTGATTAAGGAGGCAAGAAACTTAGGACATCAAATTAAGGAAGTGAAGGTAATGTGTAAAAAGCAGTTATATTCCAAGATGTAATGTTATTATAGCATTTAGATCACTGTGAAAAATAATGTAGAAAAAAAAATCTTCTTATTTATTTATTTATTTATTTATTTATTTTAAAAGGAAAGATTATTACCATCATGG